ATGATGAGCGTTTCTGAGCACCTTTCTTTTTCATGGCCAGCAACCGCCCATATACCAGCTTATGAACCAGTAAATGGTGGTCCTTGAGGCAAAGACAGGCCATATAAACAATCTAGCAGTGATTCTCAATCTTCTTCCGCCGAGGAACTGGCAGATGGGACCCCAAGCAACCAGATCGAGGAATTCTAACTTCCACCGCCCACATGACAACACTAAGGAAGCGGTCATGAGCTCTGTGCACATCGTGAAAAATCTGTAAAGTAAAAGGACACAAGTGCAACTAATGTGACATTTTATTGTGGCAACGTCTCGCTTTCCAGGAGCTTTGTCAAGCCGTTACCGGCTTGACAAAGCTCCTGGAGAGCGAAACATTGCCACAATAAAATGTCACATTAGTTGCACTTGTGTCCTTTTACTTTGCACGTTGTCGGTATTTCTACCAACTTTATTACAATCGTAAAAATCACCAAAGTTTCAAGAGATTTCCGGAGATGGCAATATTGACGGGCAGGATGGGCCAGTGATTGCCTTGACAGGTGATGGGGGCCACTGACAAAGTGCCCAAAGGTTGAGCAGGTCGAGCTCCTGAAGAAAGAGAAGGACTGCAGAGCAACTGGAGTCCTGCGGCTTGAGGAAACAGTCAAAGAATAGGCCAGGAAGATGCAGTATGCCTTTCTACTCGCCTCTGAAAAAAAGTTTCTCAACACAAAGTGGACTCTCATATACACTACACACTCTCTGTCATTATGGAAACTACCACAGTTGTGGCACTGCAAGACTCCAGTACAGGAATCAGCAGCATCAAATGCAGCTCTACAAACAACACATGCGTTATAGATTGCCTTGCACTTAGACTTTTGGTGGACAGACCTCCATTATTTGAAGCATTGTACACAGACGGAACAACTGACTTCGCATGTAGATCCCTCCACCCAAGATTTATATACAGGGAAAGGACCGGTTAGTTGAATATGAGGATTAGTGAATTGGTGTTTACCAGGACATCCCCAGACTCTCACACTCAAGTAAACATTGAGAAATGATGCCACGACACTGGTTCAAACAACTGGTGGTAAGCATATTCTTCACTGGGTCACCACGATACAAGAGGAGGGAACAAACCAGTGAATGGAGAGAAATCTTTATTACCAGACTGTCCTTTGAGATCTGGTAAATGTTAGGTCGCAAGATCTTCCCATACTGTGCCTATAGCTGCTGCTTCAAACTTATCAACTGAAAGCTTGGCCAGAGTTGGACTGTAACACATATGGATATGTGGCCATCTTTGAATTCCTTCTCAATGGCCTGGTAGATGTAGGCCGGTGTGTTCTTTAGAGCACTAACACAAAGTCACTGACCATCCACCACTGAATCGAGTAACACACAAACAAGCAAATGCTTTGTCAACAAAAGAAAACTACAATCATGAAGTTTATCATGCCGGGAGGAAATGACGTGCACAACACTACTCAAGATAGAAATAACGAAGGCATTCTTATCCACATTTTAGACATAGAACCCACCACTGAGATGTCTACCAAATCAACTTCAGAAATGGAAGTGGTATCGTGACCAGGGCCAGCTACAACTGGGTGATCGGCTTAGTCTGGGTCTGGGCCATTACCTAAGCCATGTTAAGCAGAGATCGTCAGGAGTCACTTTCACTGGGGGACGAGGAGTGAGAGGAGGTGCCTTGACAAACATAAGTTTTTTCATCTTTTGTGATACCAGAGAGAAAGAAAGCAGATACAAAGTGCAAAGAGAAAGAAACAAGAGACTACTGGTTGGATAATAAAATTAGGCCACTGCCCTGCCACTATCCTCACTCTATACATATGTAACAAACAGTGGAGGCTGTCTTTCTAGGGCCATCCCTTACCCTACCCAGGCACGACTCTACGATAACTTGCCTGGATCAGAGAAAGGATTAGCAAAAAAAACCCATTAAAACCGGGAGCACCAGATATGCTAACAGCTTTCAGCTATCAATGGGTGAGAGCAAACTGACAATAATGCTGAGAGTTGCACACCATCAGTCAACGCCCCTGGAACCTAAGGTGGCCTCAGGACGTACATCCGCCACTAGACAGCCACCAGTTCAACCACCCAATTCACTACAGAGATTCACCTGTAGGTCCACCTAATGATTCAGTTCACCTTGTGTGTGGACCACTTCAACACTGCAGTTGGTAGAGTACAAGGAGAATAACAGGGGCTACGTCCAAAATCCCCCAGAGCAAAAGTTAACAAATGGGGAAAAATCCCTGTTATTTGGGCCAAATTAGGGGAGGAGATGCCAGGTTCTTAGTCTGGCTAAGCCACTCACACTCTGCCACAATATTTAGGTGACTCAGCATAGGCGGGACTTTTTCCGTGAAATAACCTCAGAATGCCTATTCTGATTGGCTTTAGTTTTTAATGACCGATGCATCCTATGAAAAGGTTGATACCTTTTGGGTTTTGGCAATGTATGTGCAACCTTGCCAAGTTAGTAACATAGTTAAAATTGTTTTTATTTCATGGGAAGCACTGACATCATAGGGGCTAAGCAGATTTGATTCAGGGAAAAGAAAGGGAGGCACCTAGCCAGCAGGGACGGGCTCTAGATCAAGAGCCCGTCCCTACTTGCTAGGTGCCTCCCTAAGGTAACATTAAATAAACTTAGAATTGCAAGTTTTGATGTGCCAGTGTTATTAAACTTATTTCTGTGTAGTAACTGGATCCAGCATGCCTCTTCATTATAATCATGGGGGAGCGCTAAACCCATAGGATTATACAGCGTCTGTGGGGGGGTGGAAAGTATTTAGGCTTAATTCAGGGAACTGGATTACAGATCCAATTCCCTGGATCAAGAGCCCCTCACCAGCGTCAAGGGGCCCCAATCGCCTAGTAAGCAAGTAGGTGCTTGGGTGTTAGTGGACTGGTGTGGGTGGCATCCTGGAGGACAAGATTGAAGGACCGCGATGGAAATAAGAGAGTCCTTGATGACGCACTGACTTTCTGGGTTATCCTGGGTGACTAACCCTCCGGGGATAAAAATACGAATAAACTCTTATCTTACTGTTTCTTCCAAATGTCTTCAATTTTCAAAGCCGTGTCGGTGCCAATCTGCCTATTTTTACTGTCGAAATTCGAATATTAGATTCCATGTGATAACTTGTTAATGCCTCTTCTTATTGGCTTCAAACCCTCAATACTAACTACATTAGCAATTTATGCCGCATCCTGTACTTTTGCGTGTATTGAGGAAGAGGAGGTTCAGTAAGTTTATTCAGATATACACAAATACAGTTACATAGATTACCATACATAGCAGCATATGTGTAGAGAACCTGGGATAACCCAAAAAAGTCAGAGTGACTTATTTCCATTGGGATCCTTTTGTTACCTTATCAATAATATTACATTAATATAAAAATCAAATGTGCCAGATAAGAAATTATATAAAAATAACATAAAACAAATTATATAAAATACTGAAGATAGAATGATCAGATCACAAGAATTATGTCATAAAAATACATATAGAATGCTAAATTACATTAGATTTCATTCTGAATTATTATTATAATCAAAAAGAAGCGCTAAGCCACAAGGGCTATACAGCTTTCATTCTGAAAATTATCAATGTTGGAATACAATGAAAAATAGAAGACAATGAATATATATCCGAAATTAATAGTCATCTCTAGGGAATGTATATTTTGCCCTAAATAACAGATGTTGATAGAGGCTTGTCCCTCCTTGGTGGGTCAGCCAGTCTAATATATTATGTACCTCATACCCATCCTGTGGGTGGTAGTCAAAAGATTACAGAGGTACATAATGGGTCAGACAGCCATTGCAGACAGCATTAGGTTGTGTCAGGATTCGTTGTCTGCAGGGGGCGTCATTGACTTCACCAGGTCAGGGAATTTGCTAGCAGCTTGAGGGAGAGGTGGATGTCACCGTCCTGGTGGATGTTGCAGGTTTTAGGTCCTTTGTAGAGGTGAAGTCGCGGTAGCTGTCTGCTGGAAGAGGCTGTTGGTTGTTCCTACTTGGAGCTCTGTAGGTTAGACAGGTTTACCTGGAGAGGATTTCGGGGGTTAACGCCCCCGCGGCCCGGTCTGAGATCAGGCCTCAGGTAAGATTTGTTAGGAAACAAGGCAATTATTTCCTGACCTGCCGCTGGAACTTTTGGTCACCTGACCGAGGCCTTCCACTTATAGTTATAACCATTTATATTTCGGATCGCGAAAACACATCTAGTTTCATTTCGGAATTATTAAGTTTATTTAGGCACAGGTACACATAAGAACAATTATACATCTGCTGAAGAGGATCCCAAAGGGAGATCGAAATATTCAGATAAATTAATCTCCTGAGTTTCAATAACTATGTAGGTTAATATAGAGCATTTACAAGTGTTTAATACACTTTAGTTATTCACCATACATAGTGTAAATTACCCAGGATACCCCAAGAAAAGTCAAAATGACTTATTTCCAAACTATACCACAAGTGGGGTTAGAACCAGCGATCAGTCTCAAAACTCCAGACCGATCGCGGGTTCTAACCCCACCTCTGATATATGTTTTCAATCATGTCATTACGATCTCGTAAGTCATGTTGACTTATTTCCATTGGGGTTTAGCTCTTTTAAGAAAGAGTACTTATGTATAAGAGCAATATAATCCATACATAAAAGTACATGGGAATAATATTATCTCTCTTTTGTTATGAACTTTAGATTTACATGTTCGATGGTCATAGCTTTGACCTGGACACCCGGCCAGAGAGCCGAGCCTGGCAGAGCCGAGTGGATGGCAGGTGATACAAGTTATGAGAGTCGACGGAGCGGCCACCTTCATTCTTCCCGCTGCCATGACGGCCACTGCGTGCGCATGACGTCACAACCTACCTGCCCACACCACACATTTATTTCCACTCACCTTGCTACAATAACCCCAACGCGCGTCTCTTGCGAGTCGCGTACGTCTTCCTCCGTGTCGTACAATATCCGCGGAATCGCGAGAAGCGAGGATAACGCTTAGAAGAGGGTATTTATTTGTTTTTACGAGAGTTAGTGTGGTAGTATTACTGGAACATTGTGCGGTCATTTGAAGTGGTGACGTCGGTTACGGCTGCCATCTTGAACAGTCTATGGGGTTGGGTTGTGGTTCTGTGCTCCTCAATCCGCGAACATCGGTTAATCTGTGCCCGATCCGTCGGTGTGAATACGTGTAGAGTGAACTGTGTGAACCATTTACCATGGCGGAGACCGATAAGCTTAATATAGATACCATTATTGCCAGATTATTAGAAGGTAAGAAGAGGGGGGGAATCGTACCTCTTAATTTTTTTTCCCATTCAAGGGTTGTGTACCGATATTCCTCTTGATTTTTACGCGTCTTGTTAAGCCGCTATGATAGGCTTATCCGTGTATATTTTCCATGACATGATAAGATATGTGTATGAAGTGTATACTGTATATATACAAAAGTATGTTTATTTGGGCCAAAATACAAGAGAAATGAAGTGCAATGAACTAGTGGCCGCCCATTTTAATGTCAGCTGGAGATTTGACGGTGAAAGTATAGCTTCAGCAAGTCTCCTAGACTACATTATGTTGCTGGAGAGGATATATAAGCAGTAGGAAGTGTTGTGTGCTCTCAGGGCAAGCATAAAGTTGTGTGAAGTTTGGAAGTGTTGGGAAAGTGGTCAGAGATGGTGAGGTTGTTAGCCAAGGTTATGTCTAGTTTCTCGCTTTTTCTGGCCTGGATGTGTAGCTGGGAAGTACTGAACACCCTTATTAATGTTCAGCTAACTTATGTATAGAAATGATTTTCTTCGGTGGTTCAGGTTCTACTGAGCTCGTTTGTAGAACCTCGAGTTCTTCTTAATTGCGGCCTACTGATGCTGGCTTCTTATAGGCCTAATCACCAGTGGAAAGTTTAAAGTATAAATCTGAAAGCTGTGTCTGGAGGTGGAAAAAGATTATAGAGGTGTTGGAACAGTGTGAGGTAATGGTTACTGGTTTACCAGCGTAGTGTAAGTCACACCCATATTTCTAAGATGCTCTATATTACTGATCTAATTTTGCATATACAGTGGCAGTAATTATTGATTGACCTGACAGATATTTGGAGAAAATGGGGATGGGTGTTTAAACTGAGAGGAAAATGTGTTGGTATCTTACTTTACCTTTCAAGAGGAGTGTATTATTGATGGTTGTAAGTTTACATAGATACAGGTACACATAAATACAATTGTCATACATAATGTAATTTACCAAGGATAACCCAATAAAGTCAGTGACTTGTTTACATTGAGGTCCTGACGAACTTGTTCCAAAGAATTTTAACCATACTATCAGTTATTAAACCCGATTGTCTGTCGTTCCCCAGACTGATCTCTACAGGGTTTAGTGCTTTACCCACCCCTCAAGGAAGGTTCCTTGATGTTGGTGAGGGGCTCTTGATTTAGGGAGTTGGATCTGTGCTCCAGTTCCCCGAATTAAGCCTGAATGCCTTCCACATCCCCCCCCCTAGGCGCTGTATAATCCTCCGGGTTTAGCGCTTCCCCCTTGATTTTAATAAGTGCTTTACCTGTAATTATGAAAGGTGATAATTCTAGTTCCTACATGCATTGATTTTCATAGTGGTCTTGGAAGGAATGTTGAAGCTGGGTGTGGGTGGGTGCGAGTTGGACCTTACTAGCCTGGGCCAGTAAGCATGCTGCAGTGTTCCTTCTCAAACTATAAACAGATGAAACAAAATTAGCCTGATCAGTTTAGGCTGGCCAAAGCCCCCGTTTACACTTTACACCAGGGCACAAAAGTGGTGGAGCACTGCAGCAGGTCCATTGCCCCATTCTAGGCAAATGTGATACCTATTTTCAAAGCAGGTGACAGGTCCTTAGCTTCAAACTATAGACCAATAAGCCTAACCTCCATAGTGGGGAAAATTTATGGAATCGATAATTGCCGAGGCAGTTCGTAGCCACCTTGAAAAGCATAAATTAATCAACGAATCTCAGCATGCTTTTACAAAGGGGCGTTCCTGCCTTACGAATTTGTTAACTTTTTTCACTAAGGTATTTGAGGAGGTAGATCATGGTAATGAATATATTGTGTACATGGACTTCAGTAAGGCTTTTGACAGGGTCCCACATCAGAGACTATTGAGGAAAAATTAAGGCACATGGAATAGGAGGAGAAATTTTTTCCTGGATAGAGGCATGGTTGACAAATAGGCAGCAGAGAGTTTGCATAAATAGGGAGAAATCAGAGTGGGGAAGCGTCACAAGCGGTGTTCCACAGGGGTCAGTGTTGGGCCCCCTGCTGTTCACAATATACATAAATGACATAGATGAGGGCATAAAGAGCGACATCAGCAAGTTTGCCGATGACGCCAAAATAGGCCGTCGAATTCATTCTGACGAGGACATTAGAGCACTCCAGGAAGATTCGAGTAGACTGATGCAGTGGTCGGAGAGGTGGCAGATGCAGTTTAATATAGACAAATGCAAAGTTCTAAATGTTAGACAGGACAATAACCATGCCACATATAAACTAAATAATGTAGATCTTAATATTACGGATTGCGAAAAAGATTTAGGAGTTCTGGTTAGCAGTAATCTGAAACCAAGACAACAGTGCATAAGTGTTTGCAATAAAGCTAATAGAATCCTTGGCTTTATATCAAGAAGCATAAATAATAGGAGTCCTCAGGTTGTTCTTCAACTCTATACATCCTTGGTTAGGCCTGATTTGGATTATGCTGCACAGTTTTGGTCACCGTATTACAGAATGGATATAAATGCTCTGGAAAATGTACAAAGGAGGATGACAAAGTTGATCCCATGTATCAGAAACCTTCCCTATGAGGATAGACTAAGGGCCCTGAATCTTCACTCTCTAGAAAGACGTAGAATTAGGGGGGATATGATTGAGGTGTATAAATGGAAGACGGATAAATAAAGGGGATGTAAATAGTGTGCTGAAAATATCTAGCCTAGACAGGACTCGCAGCAATGGTTTTAAGTTAGAAAAATTCAGATTCAGGAAGGATATAGGAAAGTACTGGTTTGGTAATAGAGTTGTGGATGAGTGGAACAAACTCCCAAGTACAGTTATAGAGGCCAGAACGTTGTGTAGCTTTAAAAATAGGTTGGATAAATACATGAGTGGGTGTGGGTGGGTGTGAGTTGGACCTGATTAGCTTGCGCTACCCAGGACGGTTGCCGTGTTCCTCCCTTAAGTCAAGGTGACCTGACCTGACTAGGTTGGGTGCATTGGCTTAAGCCGGTAGGAGACTTGGACCTGCCTCGCATGGGCCAGTAGGCCTGCTGCAGTGTTCCTTCGTTCTTATGTTCTTAACTCGCCCACCCACAGTGTGTACCTGTCCAACATGGCTATTTTTAAGCTGCCACAAGGTTCTGTGATGTTACTTAGGGGTTTATTCTATTTATCCATAACTATTACCAAACTAGTGCTTTCCTACATACTTTTTAAATCTAAATTTGTCCAACTAATCCATTACAGAGTCCTGTCCATTAGATATTTTAATTAAACACATTATTTAGGAGCAGTCAGTAGATGTATGTACATTTTTCTGGTGAGTTCTCTTGTATACATTTAGTAAACTGTCTTGCACCAGTGCAGAAAATTGAATGACAAAGGTGATTAAGTAAGACCAGAAAATCGCATGTACCAGATCTGACACTTGGTTAGGTTTAGGATTTTTTCAAAATTTATTCTGCATTTTGAGTAGCTATATGAATGATAATGGTATACCACACTGACACATTGATAAATAAATAAGATATGCAACAGTTAGGTAACTATGATAAATAAGATATGCAACAGTTGGGTAACTATTCTGAAATGTTTTGCCTACACAGTAGCCTTATGTAGAGTACAGAGGAGGCAGCAGGTTGAGGGACTGGCCACCTCAAAACTACATTTTCAAAGGTGGTGGACTGATATCGAATTTACTTCTCTGCTGCCTATGTACTTGACCAAAGAAACCTAATGTGTATGCAGAATTATTCAGAATGAAGTTACCTAACTGTTGCACATGTCTTACCATACAAGAAAATGGATCTAGGCATTACTAAAAATTGTTACCATGAGATCACTTCAGTGAAAGTGAGATATGCATGTTACACTGGCTAGCTATAAATTGGCTTTCAAATATACGATTGTAGAGATGCTGTGAAAGCTGTTTACAGTGTGTACCAGTCCAAAATTGGACTTTGCAGCTGTTGTTTGGTGTCCAGACCTAAGCAAACTAGGATCAGATAAAAAAAAAAATCCAAACTACAAAATGGATTAGAAAACTATAAAATGTTTTGATGAAAGGCTCACTGATAGGAAGAAGATATAATAAAAGGTTGTGAAGGTAGATGTCAACAACCACAGATGCAAATTAAGACTTGAGCTGAAGAGATGTTGGGATATTTCTCCTTTGAATAGTCTGATGGCAGAATGGAATAAATTGAAAGAGGAAGTTTTAAGTGCTGCAACCATTGGAAATTTATAATGAACTTGTTACCATAATGAATACAGAACACCACAAGCATAGCTCTGCTTTTGTAGCTACAAATTAGTAATTGCTAAAATTATTAGTATGTACATTGTTTTCAGGAAATTCAATCTTGGATTCAATTTCTGCCTATTTTGTCAGTGTACTGTCCATTCTATCAGTCGAGCACAAAAAAAAAATGTGCATTCAACTATTACAGTTAAAAGAAATTCCAGTAGGAGTCCAAAATAAACATTGCAGGCATTACAGCCACAAATACACCCTTTCCTCTGTTCATTAATCCTGTCCCCAGGCCTCTCCTATATGCCATTTGTTCTCCACTTTGAATCCATCATCACTCAAAAAATTAAGTTTTGCTGAAGCAGACCTAGTAAAAATCCATAGCCCAGATTTAGGTCGGTCTGAGCCCATCCTTGGGTCAGGTCATGCTTGTATGGGAAGGACAGGTTGCAGAACAGGCATTCATTGGAACTGTTTTGCTCTTGAATTTTGACGAGTCATGACTTGATAAAACTCTTCTCTGTGAGATATCTGTAAAAGCTTGTTATGCAACCTGTCTTGTCTTTACTACTATTGACAGGTAGCCATTTGGATCCAACTACAAGTAAAGCCTTTTTTTTTTTTTTCTTCTCTCCAAGAAAATAGGCAAGGTCATTGATACAGAATACTGTGTTGATTTCCTTGCAGTTAGGTAGAGCTAGTTTGGCCAAAAAAATGGTTGATCACCTTTTTAATAAAGTAAAGCTTACAATACAGTAATTAAATGAGTACAGTATGTATTTAGAATGGGTAGAACCCGGCTGTAATTTTTATGAAGTTACTATGGCCTGTGTGAGCAGCCCGTCTTAAAAATTGTGTTGTCAGTAAATCGAGAAACTAGTGCATCTCCTGTTACCAGATGTTATGTTGTTTGTATAAGTTTTTTAACCCTTTCAGGGTCCAAGGCCCAAATCTGGAGTCACGCACCAGTGTCCAAGATATTTAAAAAAAAAAATTTGTTATTTTTTCTTATGAAATCGTAGAGAATCTTTTTGTGAAGGTAATAAAACAAAAAGTACGAAAATTGGTGGAAAATTGACGAAATTACGCTCTCGCGAATTTTGATGTGTCAGCGATATTTACGAATCGGCGATTTTGCCGACTTTGACTCCCATTTTAGGCCAATTACATTATTCCAATCAACAGAATTCTTAGCTTATTTCACTAGTATTACTTCATATTCATCGATTGAGCACAAGAAATCGCCAAGTCAACTTTTCAACAACTAAAATAAAGGATCGGAAAATTGTTAATTTGGCCAATTTAACACAAAGTTCAAATATTCCAATTTCAAAATAGGGTCCAGAATGAACAATGTAGGCATTCCTGCACTAAACTAACATTTCCTCTGTTCATTAGTTATGTTTTGAGGCTTTACAAATAATTTTCATTTTGATTTTTTATTCACATAATGAATTTTTATTCACAACCAAAAAATAGAAGATTTACTGTTATGCAATACTGTAATAATTGTATAAATATCATCACCATATTGTGAATGTATATTAGACCCACCAGCTGATGTGTATTAGACGTGTGAGGTCGTTTGTTTACTCTTGAATATCGGCAAAAATTTAACATTTCCGCTACTTTGAGCTCAGTTTCAAGCCATTTCCAATGCTAAAACCAATCAAAATCTCTCTATTTCTGTAATATGTCTTCCATTCTATCAAATGAGACCAAGAAATCCAAATACACTATAAAAAACATACGAAAAAACACTGCAAAGTTGCTGTTTTAATCGAAAAATCATGATTTAATTTTTTTTCTCTCATTATGCACAGTGTGCTGCAGGATCTGTTTTATGTGGTGCACACATACCACATAGATGTATTCTCTCATATCTAGGCCCAAATGTACCACTCACAGTTTATCAGAGTGAGCTGAGCTCATGGCGTAGATCTACGGTTTGGACCCTGAACATAAAGCCGTAGATCTACGGGACGGACCCTGAAAGGGTTAATGGTGGTTAAGTATACATGAATTTAGGATTTTGATTAGGGAAGCATGGTCTAAAATTTATTTTTGTTGGTTAAATCATTCAGAAATGTGCACACAATTACGTTGGAAAGCTAATGGTAATGGAAAAAAAGATATGAGAATAGCTTGTGCAGTTTGTAGCTGAATTTTGGTATGTAATGCAGTATGTATTTATATTAACTTCAGTGTATTTTCTGTACCTTGGTGTAATGAGGCAGAACATGGTACAGTACTGTATTTTGCATTATTTAGAGCCTGTACTCAAACATGAATTAGTAAAAAAAAAAAAAAAGTCTTGGTATACATTATATTTAAACTGAAACAGTTTAAAAAAAAAATGGTGATAGTAATTATGGAAAAGGAAACAACTTTGTGAGAGATTTTCTTGTCTTTTTCAGTGCGCGGATCTCGGCCTGGAAAGAATGTCCAGTTGACAGAAAATGAAATTCGTGGTCTCTGCTTAAAGTCCAGAGAAATTTTTCTCTCACAGCCAATCCTATTGGAATTGGAAGCCCCTCTCAAAATTTGTGGTAAGTACAAGCATTTAGTGTAAAAAATAGTGTTCTGCATAACCCTACATGATCTCTTCTTTCCCTTCCACTCTCTCAATTTCTCCTACTGTCTCCTCCCCCTCCCTCCTGTCACACCTTTCTTGCTCCTTCACTCCTTTTTTGCTGTCACATCTTTCTTGCTCCAGTAATTTCTCCTTTGCTCTCCTTCTTTCACTTCCCTCTCACTCCTTCATTCTCACTGAAATACTAAAGTGCTTATCGTTGGTGATTGGTAATTTGACTCTCCATGGAAAAAAAGTATCACTGAAAATAGGAAAACAAACCCAATTGCTTTTCTGTGCTTACACACATTAAACATTTATTTGGTACATTTCTTAAAAGTGCTGATAAAAACAAAAATTATTAAACCCATTTAAAAAAAGTTGGAAACCATTGTTAAAATGTTTATGGTAGATTGTTAGGTTTGGTTTAAATGAAGTTAGTTTAGGTTGAATTAAGTCAGGTTGAGTTAGTGTAGGGTAGGTTAGGACTGGTCAGGTTAGGGCAGGTCTGGTTAGGTTAGGTTAGGGCAGGGCAAGGCAGGTTATGTTAGGTTAGGTTAGGGCAGGGCAGGTTATGTTAGGTTAGGTTAGGGCAGGGCAGGTTATGTTAGGTTAGGGCAGGGCAGGTTATGTTAGGTTAGGGCAGGGCAGGTTATGTTAGGTTAGGGCAGGGCAGGTTATGTTAGGTTAGGGCAGGGCAGGTTATGTTAGGTTAGGGCAAGGCAGGTTGTTAGGTTAGGGCAGGTCTGGTTAAGTTAGGGGAGGTTATGTTAGGTTAGGGCAGGGCAAGTTATACTAGGTTAGGATAGAGCAGGTTGTTAGGTTAGGGCAGGGCAGGTTATATTAGGTTAGGGCAGGGAAGGTTGTTAGCTTAGGGCAGGTTAGGTTAGGTTAGGTCTGGTTAGGGCAGGTTAGGTTATGTTAGGTTAGGGCAGGTTAGTGTAGGGCAGAGCAGGTTAGGTTAGGGTAGGGAAGGACAGGGTAGGTTGGAGCAGGGCAGGTTAGATTAGTAGGTAGGTTTACTTAATGTATATAAAGTTAGGTGAACCAAAATCATGTTAGGTTGGGTAAGTTATCTCGTACAGTGGAACCTCGGTGTTCGAACTTAATTGGTTCCTAGGCGGTGTTCGAACTGCAAAAAGTTTGATGTCTGTAACAGTATTTCTCAGGCTTTATCAGCCTCGCACTGGAGGATGTTGAACTGACGTCCAAAAGTCTGAGAGTTTGGTTAGTGGTAGAGATCATTTTAAACAACTTTTCAGTGTTTTCATGTTAAGTTTTAAAACTGAATTTTGAACAAGCTGGCGCATTTGGACCAGAAAAACGTTCAAAGACCAGGTCATTTTTTCTGAACAAAATTGTTTGTACCTTTAATTTTTTTACTACTCATCCAGTGCTTAAATGAAATCAGTGAAATTACCAGGAGTCAAATTACCTAGAACCCATAAGTTATTTTATGCAAGTTACTAGAGAGATGACCCTAACCTGCATACTGCTGTATCAACTTAATAGTTGATGATAATGGGAGAAATTGTGGAATAAAACTTGTGAAGAGCAGGGGTGACATGGGCACAAATTGTGAACAGTATGTCAGCATCAGTAGGTACTAGACATATTCCCTGAATGATGATAGCTTTCAAGAGGCTAGACATTTTCTTGTACAAGTGCTGGATTGACTGGGCCGGGTTGGCTGTGGGGGTCTGTGCTGCTAGCTCCAACAGCCCGGTTGAGAAGCATCAGTAGGACTGGCATCAGGCCAGGTTGCTGGGGTAGAGCCTTTGAAACCAGTCATAGGTAAAGCACAGGTAAAGTGCCACTTGTACCAGTTTATTAATGTGGGCTGGGCATGCAGTGTGATATGTTGAGTTGTTGGCACTGCCTACAGCATAGACTTGAGGCGTGTGCGTGCGCACGCACAAATGAAGCAGTGGGACGTGTCAAGATAGCACCATGGATTTTAATAGAATACTACTGTTATACAGAAGAACTAAGGTATCTGCTATGGAATTTTTATAGGGATGGGGGATCTTGTAAGAAGACGAGTTGGTGGACAAATTGAAAGTGGCAGGCAGTGCCAGTATTTGGAAAGGTGATTGGGAAAAACCCTTACAACTGTAGGCTTGTCTTATTGATGCATTGTAAAAAAAATAAACTGCAATTGCAGAAAGAGGATCAAATGTTTGGACAGCAAAGAAAATTGCTAACACCGTTTTTCAACCAACAGTTTTTTGCAGTATATCAAATATATTTGGCTCCTGTGGCAGTCACAGAAATTATTAGAGAAATGGTTTTCAGGAAAACACTAGATTGGTTGAATCTGTCTGGGTTGGCATGTTTCCTATATTGGTTCCAAGGACATGCAATACAGTACAGCATTTTTTAGCGCTCTGCAACACCTCTTAGATCATTGTTTTATCTTTTTGACTTTAGTTTTTTTTTTTTTTTTTTTTTTTTTTTTCCAACAAGTCGGCCGTCTCCCACCGAGGCAGGGTGACCCAAAAAAGAAAGAAAATCCCCAAAAAGAAAATACTTTCATCATCATTCAACACTTTCACCACACTCGCACATTATCACTGTTTTTGCAGAGGTGCTCAGAATACAACAGTCTAGAAGCATAAACATATAAAGATACACAACATATCCCTCCAAACTGCCAATATCCCAAACCCCTTCCTTTAAAGTGCAGGCATTGAATTCCCATTCAGGACTCAAGTCGACTTTATGAAATAACTTTCTGAACACCTTCACTAAGTATACCTGCTCACTTCCAACGGATCGTCAGGTCTCAAGACCATCGTCTCCATTCACTCAATCTAACACGCATCACGCACGCTTGCGAAGTCCATAGGAATACCCTTACAAACCTCCTTCTCCCTCTCTCCAACCTTCGAGGAAAACCACAACCGAGCTCAACGTTGCACTATAGATTTAATGCTTTCCCTTTCATTCAACATTTTTTCTCTAATAAAAATCCTGCAACAACCCCTAAATATTGCCTACAATACTTTTCATAACACACATTGTTGCAATTTCGGTGATTCCAATTTTCAGTAATTTTACACACACATTGTTTAAAGCAGCACTCCCTTGACCCCATCGTTTTCCTTGTGCTTATTTTTCACTACCTTTTTTAATATTACTTACTACTATAGTATTTATATCTGTCCATTGATAATTCTGTTTCTTCCTTGGATCACTGTAATAGCCTTATACTGAGGTGTTCTTTTCTTTTGTCCCCAGTGAGATTTCTGCCATGCCATTGACTGCCGTGCATTCTTTGGATATGGTCTAGACATTTTTATTTTAATGCTGTATTATTTTTTTTTTTTTTTCTCTCTGAGTTACCTGTATGGATTTTTTTTAACTGATGATGTTTTAACCTGGTGTCATTGTATGTACAGTACTGTATTAAATTTGCAGTGAGGAGGAGGGTGAAAGCAGTGGGAGTAGTGTTTAAGGGCAATGTTTGGTTTGAATATTATGCAGAGATTTTGGAGATTAGTAGTTAGGAGTTGCCAGAAGTATCACTTGGAAGGCTGAGGAGAGGTTGGAGAAATAATTTTGGCACTTAAGAGAGGCTGGAAGAAAATAGTATGAACTTAGTGTATGTGGAAGGAAGGAGAGGTAGGGATCGTCCCAGGAAAGGTTGGAGGGATGGTGTAAAGGAGATTTTGAATGCAAGGGCCAGAACACTAACAGGCTTGCAAGAGGATGTATAGGAGTGGAGGAAAGTTTTTTTTATGACATGTTGGAGTGTGAGCAAGGTAACATGAAGAGATTCAGAGAAACTGGTTAGCCAGACTAGTCTTGGAGGTGGGATGCATAGTGACCACTCTAAAGAAGGGGTGGGGATGTTGCAATTTGAGGGGCATTGAACTGTGATGTCGGCATGCTTCTGGCATGCTAACATCATGAATGATGGTGAAAGTGTTGCCATTTGTGGGTGGGGGGTCACTCCCCCTTTGTGGGAGACAGCTGGTATGTTGTGTTTATGTGGATTTGCATTTCAGTACAGACTTTATGCATAGAACACTAATGGCTCTGGTCTTGACATTCTGTAAATTTTAAAACTTCTTACATCTGTATTGCCAAACCAGTGCTTTCATACTGATATCCTTTGCAATTCTGATACTTGTCTGACTTGATTCCATTGTTGAGAGTTCTGTCTTAGGTGATTTTTAGCCCTTCTTAATTATAGCTACTTTAATTACAGTATTCTCATCTTTTATTTGTCCATTTTGGTAATCTCTCCACTTATTTTTTAAAAATCCATCTTTGCAAGAGTGTTCTGATTCACTGAACTAACTTTTTCATATTTTCTTTACTAGTGCATTGATTTAATCTGTGATGTGGAGACTAGAACTGTACCTTTTAACATTAGTTATTGTGCATTATAACTTTGGGACTGATGTTACCTTTAATTTTCATTTATGAAGTTGAGTAGGCTATTAGGCTTAATGTATATGTCAACTTTTACATAGCACTGTTGCATTGGTTTAAGGTTTCTGCTGATTAGAATTACAGTGCTGTACTATGTTTAGTTTGAGGTGCAGCAGGTGTTTTCTTTTCTCAAGGTTTAGTTAGGGGTCAGTTGTCCACACCAAAATGAATCTGTAAATTTTCTAACTTATCAGCATTAACCTATCCATATCAGCATGAGGTTCCCTTTCACTGCTCAGTCCTCTCCTAACACCGACATTTCACAAGCATGACTTGAAAGTTCACCAGAGTACATTTAGGTTTTTGCTCTTCATGTGCCTAAAACATTAGTCTTGGCTTTTTGCTGGTATTAGTTTTTCCTTTTAACAATTGTAAATATATTTTAGGACAGGTTTTATTTTGCTACATTATTAATGAGAAATTGCTTGTATGTAAAGATATACAATGGACACCCGGTTAACGATATTTTTTCATTCCAGAAGTATGTTCAGGTGCCAGTACTGACTGAATTTGTTCCCATAAGGAATATTGTGAAGT